TCCCATTCGTCGGTATTTGTGATATCATAAATCCTGGAAAATATGCGTTGTAGTCCAAACGAGTCGTTCGTTGTAGTTTTTGAAAAGTGATTTCTGTTAAATAAAATATCTCCTTCTGAATATGACTTTGAGCTTTGTAACTTTGCAGATCTTTTTTATGCTCAAACAGCAACATTACAGACTAACTAAAGTTGAAAAAGTGAAAACGCATAATAGGACCCCTTTAAATTGTAATAATATTTTACAATATTACTTGATTTATTATCAATGTAGGGTCTTGATGAGCATAAGAGCCTTCTTTAAAAAAAACTATAAAAATCTTACTGACCCTAGTGTAGTTTTTGTATTATAATAAATTAAATAATTCTGCTTGTAGAAGTCTCCTTGTATCCCTTTATTTAGAAAAAAATTAACCCATTATTTGATAAATTTTCATTGGAAAATCCTAAATTCAATTTTCAACTTAGGAGCACATGCGCTCACTGGGAAAAAAGTAAGCATCAAGCCCTGAATTAATAAGCTACAAAATAACAACTTGAAAATATCAAAATATTTATAAAAACTATAATAGAATCTCAATTACACTAAAATAACAGAAAACCAGATTAAACTGACCCTGAGCTTCTGAAAATGACAGTTCATTCTTTTTGGTTAGAGACTGTTCAAAAAGGTTAGATTAAAAGATTCTAAAACTGGAGTAAAGTATCAGTCCAGTGGGCGGGGTCAGAGTGGAGGCGGAGCCTCGATCAAACTCACCACAGAGCTGTTGGCGTCCGGCAGGAACTGTCCAAACTCAGAGAGCAGATCTTCCTGGTTTTTGAAGAGTTGGGCCACCTCAGCGTAAACTTCCTGCTCGGTCAGGGCTGGGGTGTAACTCCCGCCCGCTTCTTTAGCATTACGCTGCTCCTTCTGATTAACGAAACAAGTATATGCGTAAGTGGATTGTGAATTATAATTCATTTGTGAAGTGTTTTCAGTTTTCTGCCCGACCTGGTACTTGTGCAGGATCTCGAGGAAGGATTTGTAGATGTTAGGCTGGCCCTGGAAGCGGTTCTTAATCTTGTTGACGTAGCTGATGGCGTGGTTGAACTCCACGGGCTGGTTGTTCTGCAGCGGCGGGGTGGTGGGCATGCTGTTGACGGGGGTGTGGGGCTGCAGTGGGGGCGAACGTGGGGAAGCATACGGAGGGATGGACGGATTGGGATGACTGCTCGGAGTCAGAGCTGGAGACTGCAGTGGCTGTACAGACAGAGAGAGAGAGATGGAAAAATATCAGTGATCCTGATCGGGACTAAACCAAGGTATATGCAGAGTTTTTAAAATCATATTTAAGACTTAAGACCACCACAAATAAAATATTACTGTATAATCATATAAAACAACCCCATAACATCTAAACACTGAAACTGGTTAACCAAAACAATTTTATGCATAATGCGAAACTTTTAATTATAAAAAGCCTGGAATCCCGGGACTCTTATTTTGAAATGTCATTGCTGACTTTAGTGCTGCTTCCAGCTGATCATTCAAATGGATGAGGGAGATAAAATATGCACTGTCACAACCATCTACAACATATTACAATATAAAAGCCAAAAAGTAAACTTATAATCATAATTCATATATAGTCATATAGTCATAATTCATCTACAGTATTTCAAGTAATTGCTTGGCATAAATGCGCAGTATTCATTGACTGCAAACTTCTCTGAAAACGTGAGCCTGAAGAACGCGTAACAGCATCACTTTTTGACTTTGGACGCACAGCACTCACATTTATTTAAATTATTGCCTTTTGAAGTTTAATAATCATTAAGTTGAGTGATTCTTGATTTTTTCCATCCCCAAATTTAACACTGCTTAAAATGATAATTAGGACTTCTATAACCATTTAAAGCAGGGTTATTCTAAAATAACACTGTATTTAAGACATTTGAAACTTTAATTGTATACATACATGATGAAACTATGAAATGTAAGATTTCTAAGGACCCACAGGGACCTTGTAAATGTTAACCCTGCAAATTAGCTTTACTTTTTTAGTCTGAGTACCTTGCTTTTCGGTGTGGGTTGGACGGGAGGTGTGGATGCCAGGCTGGGAGGGTTTGTGGGGATCTGGTTCTGGAGCTGTGGCGGCGGCGGCGGTGGTCTGGTGGGGATGTTCTGCACGGAGATGCCGTGAGGTGTTATGTGGTGGATCTGACCGGGTGTAGTCACATTAACCAGGTCATTGGTCTGAACTTCAATCTTGTATCCCGGTGGAAGAAACGTGTTAAACCCCATAATGAGATCAGGGTGACCCTTAAAGAGCTGCGACACCCTGCTGATTACACCCGGGGTGTCAATACTGCAGAATGAGAAAGAGAGAAAGTATTCGAAATTATTAATTATGATTAACTACTTCCCAGTAAAACTATCTACCATTGTGGGAAATTATGCAGGGCAGGATTTGAATGTGGGAGCATGGCAATAACATATTTTTCTGACAACATGGCCTTGCTTAAGTAAAAAAAAAAAACATCATAAAAATTGGATGAAAGCAATGTATATTTTTATTTATATTATTTTAATTGATAAATTAAAAAAATGCATGCTTTTATTCAGCAAGGGCGCATCAACAGTGAAGATATTTAAAGCATATAAGTTAGAATCGTGATGTTTCACATGTGAATAAACTCACCACTGAGATTTAAACTCTTTCATGATATCCAAGAAATCATTGTAGACGTGTGGTTGATTGCCAAACTGTAGCTTCACCTGGTCCAGGTAAGACAGGGCGTCCTCCACCTGCAGGAAGGAAAACGACAATCCAGTTTATCTCACGCACACAGCTGCTATTGCAAGACCGCATTGGTTTGACTCCTAAACAACCCAAACACAAAATCCCGTTTCACCTTGAGTCTCTGGAACTGCTGTTGCCCCTGTGCAGATGCGGAGGGGGTGGGCGGGTGACTGTGGCCCTGCACCGGCGCAGGACCGTGGGCCTGGACCGCTGCCGGACCATGATGGTGAGCACCACTGTGGGCCACCGCCGGACTGGGTGTGTGACCGTGACCACTTGAGCTTTGGGCCACTGTGGACACCTAATATCAGAAACAGAGCAAAGATCTCAGCTATGTGGAGCCTCTGTGAGATTCTCTCTAAGCAAAATTACTATATACTGTATAATAGTAATACTAATATATATATAAACTGTATATACAGGGATCAACGCTAAGGATTTTTTCTATTAGTCCGGTCGGGCCAGTGGTTCAAATTTTTACTTGCCCTGCCAACATTTTCACTGGCCCTGCCACAAAAAATAAAATAGTTGCTGTTATCATTGTTACAATCTTGTATTCTAATAAATAAGCTTATACTATATGACAACAATATTTTAGATACCAATTAAATTTTACAATTCTCTATTTCAATTCTGATACCACAGCAAAAATCACTAGCCAAAAATAAACATAAATATAAAGTTTAAACATTATTAAAGACAAGTGACAGCCTGTAAATACAAATGAAC